GAATCCTCATGGGCTGGGGTGGATCTCTGCATCCCCCATGAATCCCCATGGCCTGCAGAGCAATCTCTGCTCTGGCCCCTGGAGCACCTCCTCCCCTCCTTCTCCACTGACCCTGGTGTCTCCATGTTGTTTCCCTCACACGTTCTCACCTCCTTCTCTTTTCTGACTAGAAGAAAAACTGTGTGACTTTGTTTTGATTTTCTTCTTAAATATGAGGCATTAAATATGAGCACAGAGGCGTTACCACCCTCTCTCATTGGCCCAGTTTTGGCCAGCAGCATGTCCATCCTCAGAGCCATCAAGGATTGATTCTGCTGGACATGGTGGAAGCTTCCAGCAGCTTCCCACAGCAGACACCTCTGTGGTTCCCTGGCTACCAAAAACCGGGCTGTGCAAAATCAATAAACAGTAACAGATTTATCACAAGAGAGGTTGTGGGTTGTCACCAGGTGAATCCCATGAATCCCACTGACAACTAAGAACTGACACCTTCTCATACTTAATGTTTCTCTAGTGCCATTGCCCATGACTGTTAACTGCTACTAGTTTTCCTCACATGGCCATGCAGAGCAGCTGATACAAAGTTATCAGAGCTGCATTTGCCTCTCCAGCAGAAACTTTGCGTAAGGTTTCATCTCCTTTTAAGTAATCAATGATTCACCTGAATCAAGGAACAAAACTGAAAATCAGATGCAAATGATAGTGCAGATGAGTTTTAGCTGTCTAACATATAACCAAATTTGAAAGCTAGAGCTGTTGTCCAAGTCCTTTCTTGCATTCCCTACAATTTTGTCCTTCAAAAAAAAACCTTTGACTTTTCTTCATGAAATTATTTCAGGTCTTCATTTGGAACTGACTTATAAGATCAATGTCTCAGTGACAATTCTCCATGAATAAACTAGTCATGCTAACAATAAAACAGTACTCCAAGAGAACACAAAGACTAGAAAATCACTAGCATTTGATGAATACCCGTGAGGGGCAAAAAAGTTCCAAAAATATGTCACAGTTACTCCAGAAGAATAGAAACATCAGTGTACTTCCTACCTGAACTGCCTCTGGTGTGTTCTTTCTGAAACTAGCCATGCCAGTGTGTCACATGCATCCTTCTCTTTCCCAGATTTGGTCTTCAAGGACAAAACACACAAGCAGGTCCCATTTTCCACCTGTTCATTTTCATATCCCAGACCTTAAGGCCTTTAAGGCCTCTTTTTCCACTACTACAATGAAAGGACAAATTACTGCAAATGACCTTGCTACTAACAGCAAGGAACCAGTGAGTGATTGCACCTTGTGATTATCAATTCAGTGAAAACAGACCCCCTCATTCCTCAATATTACTAAGAGCAACCAAATGTGCCTGAGGGTAATTTTTACGTCACCATTCCCTGTGGAGTCCCATTGAGGTGATGGAATGTCACTGCATGACTTTCCGTTTCCAATGGCATGTATTTTCCAGTGAAAAATATGCCACTGTGAGCCAAGAACAGGATGGGCTCATCCTCAATAACCCAATGCAATGGATGGCAATGCCACTGGCAAAGAGGACTGGGAGCCCTTCCAAGACAGGCTCTGCGGGTTGTGACTGTTAAAGCAGGTTGCAAAAAAATGGTGACTTAAAAGTCAGCACAAAGGGCTTGTAGGTGGCCTTTATTTCAGATAAACAACTGTGCCACTTGAGTATATCAGCTGAGAGTGTTAATTAAAACTGTGTGAAGGCTCCTTGGTTTAGGCAGACCAGCATGGGGAGGGGTGTACACACAGCTCAGCATGAAGAATTATACAAAGCTAACAGCTAACAAAAATTTTCTGAAGGCAGCAATGAACTTTATCTGGTTTCAACCCACATAATTCCATTCCTACAACTGGGAGTGCCCACCATCCTAATGGTGAGTGCATTACAGGCATCAGCAATGGAGACCAAGTCAGTATTGGGGCAACAACAAAAGATGTGTGGTTTTGATTTGTGCAGGCACAAGCTGAGTGTGAACCAGGTAACACACAGGCTTGAATGATGCCACAGGCTGGAATAACTGACTGGCATGGACCAGCTTCTTCTGACCCTGGCCCCATGTTTGGTTTGTCACAAAAAAGGGATAAACTTGATCTGAATGCCATCTTTTATTCAGCAGATAAAGAGAATGTACAGACCAACCGAAGAAATACATTTTCAACTAATATAATGTAACTTGATAGCAACTTGAATTGTACCATGTTTCAGTACAAAGGGGCCCTCTCTTGGTTTTTGGATATCCTTGTCAATTCCCAATCCTGCTTGCCCCTAAAGAGAACTACATTTCCACTTATGCACAGAGCAGCACAAATTTAAAATTAATCATGTCAATCTTCTCCTTCCATTTTTTATTAGTACCTTAACTGAATAAAGTGCACTTACAAAGGTACACAGATGTATAGCACCACTCCCAGATCTGCACTGGCACCACCAGTTTCCATCTCTGTACAGCAGCTACTCACTATTTCATTAGTATTACAGCTAACACACTTTGTTCTGTCTCTCTTCATGCAGTGCTGAGAGCCAGGACATTCTGCACATCTGTCTGCTGTTAACAAAGATACAGAGGAGAAGGAACAGCACATGCACAACACATCTGGTTACAATTTAGCATCAACATGAATGGCAATGAATGGGTCTTCGTCTTCATTCCCAATCAGGAAATTAGCCATGCCATCAGCAGCAACTTGAACTTTAGCTGCTGTACAGAAGTCACCCTCCTTTTGCCCAGAAATGACATCACAGTAAGTGCCAGCAGGCAGACCAGTCTGCAGAGATACATTCAAGGGCCTTTGGAAAAGAATGAAGTGCAGTAAGCATTATGAGGACTCTAAAATGCTCTTCAAATCATACTGGAGACCTCAGATGTTAAGTAATTCAGGAGTAATCTTCTAGCACTTCTCTGGACACTGCAGAATCTATTCAATCATTACATGCTTCAGATTGCTCATCACCACAACCTACAGCTAATTATTACAGTCCTGACATACGCCCATTCTCTTATCATCTCATTCTTGCATAAAAGAATCGAACACAGATTTTAAAACTGCCACATTTGTAATATATTCCTGAATTTACAAGTTCCCTCACTTCTATAAATTTAGACTTTGCCGGCTGACCAGTCCCAATGACACAGCCAGCTTCAGAACAGGGAATTAGAAAGACCACAGGACAAGACCTAAACTACCAAGAGTGAAGAGTGCCTGTGGTACAGTGGAAAATGCAAAGTTTAAATTGTCAACAACTGAGGCAGCCATTAGAAAGATCTATACAAGCTAGCAACAACTTAAAAGGTTTCACTACTAACTAGATTATTTAAGTACATATTTAATACATAATAACTTATTTATAATCATAATAAATTGTAATTTATTTCCCTCTTACTCACCAGTCATCATTATTGAAGATGATGAAGCCTTTATTACCACGGCCAAAAGCCACTTGATTGCTGCCATTGTCCCACCAGTTGGAGAAAGGCTCACCATCCACCACATTACGGAAGATAACCATGTTCCTGAAAACACAAACAATGGCTGTCACTGCACCTGCAACAGCTCTAAGGCCACATGGAGCAGGAAGCAAAAGCAACTGCTTTGACTTCCTCTTCCTCCCTACTCAGTGCCCTACTTGATTTGGCGCCAGCGATGTTCACAAACCCAGTCGTTGCCACAGGTGGTGTCCGGGTTGATTGTCACAGGCTTTATGGAGCCATCCTCGTTACTGGGGGGCCCAACCCAGTCATTGATGTCCTGGCATTAGAGAGACAGCTTTGTAACTTCTGACTGAAAATGCAGACAGCCCCTCTGGAGAGCAAGGCTACAGGGAGCATCAACGTTTCACTGCCTACAACCAGCATGGGACAGGCAAATCACTCAACAAACTGAACCGGGCACTGAACCAGATCTCTGGCCCTGTTCTGACCCTTAATCCCCACGGATGCAGCTTCAGCATTCATAGCTCACCCTTCCATTTTCAAAGTATCTTGGCCAGCGAAAACTTGACATCACACGTGTGAACCCGTACGGATGGGCAAGCATGAAACCAGACGCCATTTTATAGAGCCTGTTTGTTGGACAAACAACGAATGAGACATGGAAGGAGGAACCTGCCAGAGAACACACACAGAAACCAGTAAAAGCAAGAAGCATCACTCAGACAAGAGCAATCCCTTACCTGGCATCCCAGAAGGTCAGAATAGAAGATCCACCAGCCCCGTGTCCTCTCTGGTTGTCGTGATTATCCACAAAGACCAGAGCTCTGTCAGAAGGCACAAAGCCCCAGC